CATCACGCTTTGCAGATTTTGTTTGTCTAAATTAAAAAAACATGGATTGTTTTCCTTCCACTTCAAAATTATGTGCAACTATTTCTGTGGGTCTGTCACACACTGTTCCACTGAAATACATCAAAGCTTGTAGTTAAGATGTGAAGAAGTTCAAGGGGTGTGAATACATTTCCAATGCATGTTGCTGTTTATCAATTAACCACATCTTTACGTGTTTATTTGAGACTTTTGTAAATAATAATTACAATAACAAACAAAAACTCCCAGTTTCAGCATTTGGTATTTTGTCTTTTTTTTTTTTTTCAAGTTTATTTAACTCTGGTTTCCTATCTAGACGTTTTGGACGATCCAAACTTCCCTGATCTTTTCCCTCGTGTGTTTTACCTGATGCACCGGATAAGGCACTGGCGTTGCCTCTTTCACATCTAATGTAACGTCCACAAACGGGCCCTTCAGCTCCTCCAGGTCCATCCCTGCAGCCTGTCGAGGCATGAAGAGACGGGTCAATCATTCTCAAGTACAGCAGAGCTGAAAGTACAACTAAAAGTCACACAGAGGCGACGTTAATCTGGTCAAACATTGAGGGCAGTTATTTATTGAGCCAAAAATGCTTTCTACATCCCTGTTGAGCGCAGAAGAGCAAAGTCTGAAGACAAACTGCAGATTAAAGCTTCCTTTAAAGGCGTATCATCACACAGAGAATAGCCGCGGTACATTAAAACGCTCCTCTGACGCTCCAGATGTAAGCACTAACACACATCATTAACAGCTTCATGGTTGAGATGAATATGTATCAAGGGCCGGCAGAGGCAGCAGTTGGCGGTGCTATGTACTCACAATGCTGAGCAGGAACGGGAGCAACAACAGATGCACCATGGGTGTCATTACCACAGGCTGCGAAGGAGGAGGAAGAGGAGGCGAGGTGGGAGAAGGGAGCAAGAAAAAGAAAAGTGACAAAATCAAAACGGATTTCAAGCAACCAAAAGCATCTAATCTCTTTTACCTCGGCACTTTACCAGGTGTCTGCATGCTTGTTGTGTAAAAATGCTTTAATCTGTGTAAAATGGCTCACTTAAATCACTTATTTCAACTCAGAAACAAGTTACACATGACTTTAATATGAATAAATTTGCTGTTTTCAGCTCTGGGGATTTTATACCAAGGTTGCCAAAGTTCAGCATCTTCTACATGTTTACAGGAAACTTCATTATAGCTACTGATGGTTCATTTAAGGCCTAAAATCCAAGTCTAAGAGTCCAAGTCTAACACTTTGATTTCAATTACCTAGAGAAACTAAATGAATCAACTTTATAGGGACAAAATATTCTTAGGTGTAAACATGAGGTTTGTTGTGCTGCATCATGGGTCTTGCAGTTTTGTCTATTTCCTCATTCACAGCAACAAGTTACTGAGTGAATAAATATCATTGTATGCTTTTATATTTACAAATGTTGACAGAAGGAGGAGAGAAAAAGCATCTAAATGTATCATATTACTGCAATGCCTGGCCATATTTAAGCATTTAAGGTTATTTAAGACTCTGAAGAAACACATTTTTATCTTCTATCTTCAGCACAATGAGTCACTGATTCACAAAGACATCGGCTACACCAAAAGGAAATTTGTCCTTGAGTCTGCACGTGTGCACACTCGGAGCTGAATGGGAGCTTTAAGTTCACAGAGACTCCACCTTCCTGGTGAATCAGCGACCTGCCCTGCAGAACAAACTGAAAGCCAGCTGGTTTTCTGTCCTGTAAATCAGATCCTGCAGGGTTGAACTGTGACAGGCCGTTTAAAGATCCCTGCAGGGTCATATTTTAATACTGCCTGAATGGCTACAATAAAGTTTAAATGTGTATATATATGGACCAGTGTGATGAAGAATGATCCATGTGGGATTCGTTTTATTAAAAACAACCCAGCCTGACATGAACTTTGGCAGATTTACAGCATAAAAGCTCAGTTGAGATCACATATTGTGGTAGATTACTGTTTGAATAAATGTAAACAGAAATACATATGACTACAGAAACACAAATAATAAGAAACCTGAACAAAATTAAAACAATGTAATTACTAGAATGGTTTTTCTTTTATATGAATATGATGGTAAAGCCCCTGGTTTGGGACTTGCAGGTGAAGGAGTCGAGTGAAGTCGACCCATTTAGTGAAGGTGACATTGACTCTTGGCTGATGACCTTTTCTGATGACAACACACTTAGTATCAGCACAATCACCAGAGACTCCTAAGTAAAAAAAAAAAACCTTGTTCTTTGAACATTGTTCTACTATTGAACATCAGATTTAATAAAATAATCAGTCTGTTTATTGGTTCAATTTCACCTCACTGGTTACACCCTATCTATCTATCTATCCATATATATATATATATATATGGGTCAGTTTCATAAAAATCAAATAAGGAAGTGATTTGCTGTGAAGATTTAACTCTGAAACTGAAACTTAGAACGGCAGCACAATACAAGGATTTCAGATTATCTCTTAAACCTTCAGCACAATGACTAAACAGTCAAAATTCACCATTTATTATGATAAATACAACATTTTTATGCATTTAGTAGCACATATAAGAAGCAACCTCAAAAGCAAATCAGCAGGAGTTCATATATGCCAACACCTTGTTCTCGGCCTCGCCAAAGTCAAGTCAAGATCACAGTAATCTGGCAATAATCTGAAAATGCTTGACAAATGTACCAAATAATCTACCAAAGTCAATTCGAGCAGCTCTGTTTCCCTCTATTTTACACCCTAAAGAAGTTCAGCTTCAGCAGGCCGAACCCTGACACAGAGAGCGAGACAGAGGAGACAGAAGTGACTTACCTTACAGCGGCGACCAAGTGAGCCAAACCTCAGAGCGATCTGAACAGCTTCATCCCTCTGGTCAAACGTTAACCCGGGTGTTAACCATCGTGTTTTATTGGACCTAATGATTGTCTAATCAGCCTGCCTGTATACGCAGCCGGCCAATGAGGGGGGAGCTCACCTGCTTGACAGAGACAGGAAGAGCAGGACATTGAGACATACAGAAGACAAGCCCATTATCACTTGATATTAGCTGTGAGCTTCACAGTTTGACTCAAACACAGGAAGAGTTCTTTTTTTAATCAACGGGAAACAAAAGCAACCGATTCGCAGGCCAATCCTTTGAAGGATTAGCAATTGTTAATCATCACATAGTGTGATTGTGAACAAAAGTTTAAAACAGGACAAAACAATGTATGAAATACAGGAATTTCCTAAGCAGCTCAGAGATCTAACTTTCTAATTATTTCCCCTCAGACTTTGCCCTCTGGACCTCGGCCCTTTTTCTTGGGAGATTTTCCATTGGAGGCACAGCTGATAAGGAGCCGTGCGCTGAGACCAAGGGACGGACAGATTACTCAGACAGTCTGTTGCTTCATAAGACTCTAAGAAGTCATCTGCAAGGTGCAGAAGGTCACGGCACGCATGAAACTATTAGAAAGTTTGACCTCAAGCTCTCAACATCAGCTGCTCCAAGTCTTCCTGCGTACCGGAAGCATCAAATGTCAGAAACTTCCTGCAGCTGGGTGGAAATCTTTGTTTTTGTGTGTTGCAGCTCCAGTGGGAGGTTTGACTTTAATCATCATGGGAATGAAAGCTTCGTTTTTTCATCGCAACAGAAAGATTCATCTGAACTGTTGGTGGGATGAAATTTTAACAAAATTGTCTTTCTGCAAATTCACAGTAAGAAAATGACTGGACAATGTCGCTGCGGATTTTCTCAACTCGTATTTATAGAAACTGTCAAAAAGTTGGGGAAATACCCCGATAAATATTTGGTGAAATATCCCACTTTTAGTTAGACTCATCTGAAAAAACTGACTGACCAAAGCGAATTATTTTAAAAATTAAGATATGTACTATCTTTAACAATGAAGCATCTATTAAAAAGTCTGGAAATATTTTTTCTTCATACTCTATTTTTTTTTTTATTTAACTTATCCAGACCTCAAATTACTTTCTTTTAAACCCAGAAAAACAAACACTTGAAGGCTTGATAAAAATGTGCAGCTACTTCTCCTCTGGAGTCATCTTCATGGTCGCACATGAAAACACTGAGCTGCTTGGAGAACTCAAGCTTAGACTCCATCACCTAAAACATGAGGCGAACCGTCAAGCACAGCAGTGGCAGCATCATGCTCTGACGCTTGAGAATCGAATAATGAAAAAAGGAATAAGCACTCGGACTCAGCGGCTAAATAGTTCAACTTTGACACAGTCTTGCTTGACGTGACGCTAAACACTCAAAATTTGTTCTTGGACGGACGGAGCGGGCTCACATCAATTTACCAAAGCTCAAATCTAATGGGAATGATGCGGCCTCTGGTTAAAATCTGGAAACCGTTTTGCCAAGCAGAGAGGATGTAGTTATGCTGCATGAAGCCTGATCCCATCCTGAGCCGAGAGCTTTGCAAGCTAAGCTAAGAAAACGGTGCGGATCCACTGAATCAGGCTGTGAGCGAATCCCCTGTTTGATTGGCTCAATATTCAAACCGCAGTGCTGAAGGTTCAGCAGATGATGCCATGAATTCAGATGGAAGTGACTCTGTTATGTAAAGGATTGGACTGCATGAACGCCAGCATGCTCACAGCCATCTGCTTGCTTTCCCTGAAATCCTCGTACGGATCGCACAGCAAATGCTGCCTTGGCAACAGACTCTTCCAATTATTTTCCACCTTTGAGACAAAGTTCAAGTTTAGAATCTGAGCTTGAAGTTCAGCGTCGCTCTGTGACCCGAATCCCGGCCGGTTGTTGAATTTTTTTCCTTCCTTGAAATGACACGCAACGAGGGGACAGTTTCTGTTTCTCAGCCTTACCGCCACCGCCTGACTCATCCTTTATCAGCTCAGTTGTGTCGCGGTTAAATCCTACTAGTGTGAATCCTTTGTGTGCTAAAGATGAGTCATCCATTTTGATTTCTCGTCAACGACGTTGAAAAGACACACAAAAGGCAGGCCCTGCTGCGCTTTCTTCCAAGCAGAAACATCACTTTATTTCTTCAAACAGTGATTCAAAGTTGCAAAAGACAACACAGCATCGACTTGCTCTTACAGTTAGCGCATAAAACACTGCAGCATAAATCAAAACTAAACGTTTAAGTATCACACAGGTCTTAAAAAAACACATGCAAGGGTATTTTTAGTGATTTACGCACTTGTAAATGAAAAAAGTAAGAAGAAAGAAAACAATAAAAATAACTTTGTTTTCTTAGTTTCTTCTAAATGTCCCATAACTTGTGACATCACTGTGAACTGCAGTCCACTCAGACTGTCAACAGCTTGGCGCAGACCTCCACCTCCACCTGAACGGAGGGCGGAAGGTGAACGCCAACTCTGAGTTCGTCGGGAGGCAGGAAATGTCCCCTCCACCTCCGTCCACGGCTGCTTTTCTGCAGCCTTCAACCCGACTCATCTGCTCAGGTGTTTCCCCCACCTGCATTCAGGTTTGGTCTACAGCACTGACAGATTGTGGCAGGACTTGGATTTGAGCCAGAACGCCATGCTGGGATTGTTCTTCGCCACCACCCTGTCGAGGAAACGCTTGGCCCTGACCGGAAGGCTCTCTCTGCGTTTGTCGCAGTGGACGCGCCTGCGGCGTCTGCTGTCGTCTTTGGAGTCTCGCCGCAGGCGCAGCTGTCTCACGATGCCGTAGAAAGCCTCCCAGACGTTGTGCTGCATGGCGGCCGAGGTCTCGATGAACTTGCAGTCAAACACCGCGGCGGAAGCGCGGGCCTCTGGAAAAACAACAAAATGATTCGCTCAAAAAAAAACCCTTCAGATGTCTTTGAACTTGGAAAAACCACAACCACACAAATGTTGATGTGTTTTATGTGATGGATGAGCAAAAACCTTCAAGTGTAATAATTGCAACTCTGGCTGAATGTTTGGCTCCTACCCAGTCTCCTGCCTTTTGGTGCCTTCAACATGTTTTCTGACAGATTTGCCCCATAATCAGCTCAATCAACTCACCACACATCACATCCAACAAGTAAAGAACGATCTGGTACGCACCTTTACCCAAGAAGTTTTAACTCCACAGCTTGAGGGAAACGACAAAGGGACGCAACTTTGTACTTTCTGAGTTGTATGACATTAGGCCCTTTTATAGGCCCAAATGAATTGTATTAAAGTTTGGGGATTTTTACAAATATAATCAATACTCAAGTATTTGAAAATTAAGAAATTATATTAATTATTTTGGGAACAACATAGAGATGCTGCTCTGGGGATGAATTAAACCTACCAGGCATCAATTAATGTATAGAACTATCTGTTATTACCCATTATATTGTAATTTGAATTGGTAGAATTATTTTTGTGGTGGTTTGGGTACCAAACTGTCTCCAGCCCAGGGGCCCCACATCCTTGTAAATCCGGCCCTGCACACAGGTCTCCTCATGGCTTTCTTACTTCCTTATCTTTCATTAAGGCCAGATTTGTAGAGTGAATGACTAATTGTCAACATTTGGAAATAATTTCCATTCACTTCACACTTATGTGCAATGTTTTGCCAGCCCATCACGTAAAATTAATTAAAAAATGCTTAGAAATGTGCGACAGATACGAAAAAATGTTCAAGAGTAAAGATCATTTCTCCAGTGTCTTCTTACCGCTTGTCGACACTTCTCTCCGCCTCACCAGGTCGCACTTGTTCCCCACCAGGATTATGGGTGTGTGGCGGGCAGGACGAAAGCGACGTAGGGTTATCCGGAGCTCTGAAGCTCGCAGGAAGGATGCCCGGTCAGTGATGGAGTACAACAGCAGGTAGGCGTCGCCTATCTGCATGAAGCTCTCCTGGGTCCACTCATCACCTTTCTGCAAAGATTACAAAGAGTTGAAATCTGAAACACTGCAAGTCCATCTGATAGAGTCGCCTTTAAGCCATGATCAATGGAACATTGACCTACATGTATATTTCTGGTTTTGATGATGGAACTCAATAAATTGCAATGTTTGTTCTCAAATTGGTGACTGTGTGATGTTTTTAAAGCACTTTGAACTGCCTTGTTGCTGATGTGTGCTGTACAAATAAACTTGACTGATGAAATAAAGTGCATCCAGGCTGAAATGTGGCCAACATTTCTCACCTCTGCATCCCAGGTATCCAACAGGAGTATAGTTGCAGCCTCTCCATCAACTTCAATTTCCTTCTCAGCCACTTCATCTGGAAATAAACATGAATTTTAAGTTTTATTCTAATAAAAAAAAGATACCCTATTAGTAATTCAATTATTAATATATTTTAAAAGTTTGAATTGTTGTAGTAATTTAAACATGTCATACCTCCACACAGCTCGCAGTCGTCGCTGTCCATGCTGTCCGCTGCGCCGGCGAAGATGCTGGCGAACGCCGTCTTCCCGACGCCGCTGGCCCCCAGCAGCACCACCCTGTACGGGCTCCCGGGCTCCACCGAGCCCCCGGCGGAGTCAACGGAGATAACCGAGTCCGACGACGACCAGCTCCCGCGGCTTCCGTCCGACTCGCCAGCGGAACTGGCGCAGGACTTGGAGCGGGAGATGCACGCAGGGACCCGGGCGAGGAGGCCGTCCGGGAGGAGGTGGCTGCCCGGGTCGCAGATGCTCCAGCGGTGGAGCTCCGTCTGGAGGCGGAGGCTGTGCCGCCGCACACTGGAGAGCATGGTGGTGGTGGTTTAGGGTGAAGCGGTGAGAGCCCTGAATGGTGTTTAAACTAATTTTTTCGGGGAAAACACACCCAAAAGTAAGTCTTTTTCTGAAGAAATCTGCTTTACTGGGTGTGACATTAGCAGTGTTTCTTCATCAGGTTTCTTTGGCCGAGGTGAAGTAAGTTGTGCATCGCCAAAGATTGGTAAATCCCGGAGCGACTTGTCCAGCTGGTGTGTCGTTTCTGTGTCCTCTGCCTCCTGTCTCGGTAATCTGCTGCTCTGTGCTCTGCTGGGGTTTCCCTGCAGGCTTTATATAGGGGGCGTACTGTTTTGATTCACGTCCACATGAGAGAGGCGCTTCATCTGTGTTAGTTTTCCTCCCCAAAAAGAGATTGAGGGATCTAAGCTTTCAACAATCCAGTTCTGCAAAGATTACAACTATTTCACGTTTAAAGATTATTCAAGTGTAAGCGCAGATTGGCGTGTTAAACTTTTACTGTTAAAATTTACGTTTCCACATACAGATGGGACAATTTTTTTGTTTATTTGGCTGTTATACAATGTTAACAACTAAAAGGTAATACTAATGTATTAGATCACAACCTCTGCATCCACATCAGGAAAAATTAAGCTGTTACTTCACGGAGTCACTAAATTTCTACTTATGGAAACATCTCTACTTGGTCAGGTTTTAGATATGGAAACCATTTGGATGGAAAAAGAATAAAGGAGGGATGGAGGGATGATAAACAAGCAGAAAGATGAACAAAGAGATGGATTTTTGGATGTATGGATGGTTTGTTAGAGGGCCAAACACGGATAGATTGATGAACGATGGATGGACGGATGGATTGCTGGAATGATGGATGCATGAGTTAATACGGTTACAAATTAATATGAGTGGACGGATACAAGGCAGTATTGACTGGACGTATAAATTCACAGACATCATGGACACTGTATGGTTTACTCACCATTAACTCTGATAAAACAATCAGCTCTATATTAAGAATGCAATTTCCATTTTGGGTTTACACCTTCTGAAATGTCAAATTTTATAAGATATAAGGCATAAATACAGGTCCTTCTCAAAAAATTAGCATACTGTGATAAAGTT